TCTTACGATTGATAAATCCCAACGTTGAATCTGATAAACAAGCTTAAATCCAAAACCAATAACAAAATCCAAGTTCAAATCCTTGTTCTACGTTAAAAAATATGAAAAGAGAATGAAAAACGAGTGAAAGAACGAGGGTAGGGTTTTTTTTCGTCTCTGGAATGAGAGATAATCCGGATGCCCTGGTAATCTGGTCGCTATCCATATTTATAGTTAGGCGAGTGACGCGGCGTGAAAATCCTAGCACGGCGCGGAGAAGGCCCGCCTTGCGGCGCGAAGGGTCAGTCACGGCATGGAGAAGAGCCGCCTCGCGGCGCGAAGGGGGGTAGTGCCGCGGCGCGGAGCGTGCAGTTGCCGCCGCGTGGTGCGTAACGTGGGCGCGGAGGTGGAATGCTGGGCGGCCTCAGTTGGTGTCGTGGCATGGGTGCGGCGCGGTGAGGCATGGGTGGTGCGGCGCGGGATACTCCGCGGCGCGGTGCTGGGAGACGCATCCTCTGAAGGCCCGTGAAGTATTTCTTTATACAATTTAATATGATAGTTATATTCATAATATTAAATTATTGTAAATATAATAACTAAGTTAATTGTATATTGTAAGCTAACTTTTATAATTTATTTTATAAAAAAAAAAGAATGTTAAATGTAATGGTAATAAATAACGAGTTGTACCTAATAATTGGCTAAGTAAACAAATAATTGGGAATGAGCAAATTAATAAATAATTGAGAAGGACTGCAGTTCCACTTACAACCCATGTTGCGTTAAAACTACAACCCACAAACCATTCATGGCGATTTAACTGAAGATTGTCTCAACTGAACAAGCCAATCAGCATTATGAGTGAAGACTATCATAACTGAACAAGCCAATTAGCATGAAAATCTCAAAAAATAGAATTGTTGAAGTGGCGATTTAATTGAAGATTATCTTAACTGAACAAGCCAATCAGCATTATGAGTGAAGACTATCATAACTGAACAAGCCAATTAGCATGAAAATCTCAAAAAATAGAATTGTTGAAGATCCGACAGAGTCTCCACTAATCTTAAATCCATTGTGTATTTAAGTATTTTTTTTAGCTTATCACAAATATATTTACGATGAACTGAGGCAGAAAAATTATAGATACTGTAAGTCCATTTTTTTTTAAACTTGTCACTAATATATGATCTGATGAATAATTTAATGATGATACACAGAGAAGGAGGATCATATTGCATCTGGACTTAAATAAACATACCACGCCTTCATCTCAGGCACAAGAAACATTAATGCATCTTCACTTGAATAAGCTGCCAATATATGACGGATTCATCTCACCAGCACAAGAACAAGAGAAGGCTCGGCCAGTTCACTGGAAGATATTCTTTAAATGTTAATTAAATTAGTTCCTATTTTATTTGAGGATATAAAATGATTAGTGTTTTGTATTATTTTGTATACTTTGATGTTTTATCAATTGAATTTATTATTGTACTGATGAAATAAAATTATTATATTATGTTTTATTTTATTTCTTTAACATTACTTCTTATTGTAAGTGGTATTAATCGATTCATTTGAAGCAAAAGAAATTTACTAAAAATTATTTTGGTTTCTTTCCTTGGTTAGAAATGCTATGCTAGGTCTTATGGCAGTGGCTAGGCTTTTTAACTAGTTTTAGTTTTAGTGAGTTGGTTGGTTCGTATTTCTAAGCCATCTTGTTGATGTGCTTCCTATTTTTAGTTTCAGGATTTGATTGGGGGTTCCCTCTTTGTATTAGAACATTGTTCTCGTTTGAGTTATATAGTTATTCCTATCGTTTTGAAGAAAAAAAAATGTGTCGCATGAGAGACGAAAAATATGCCATTTATTGTCGTTAATATTAAGATATTAAGAACGGACCAATCTATTTTTAGTTTCAGGATTTGATTGGGGGTTCCCTCTTTGTATTAGAACATTGTTCTCGTTTGAGTTATATAGTTATTCCTATCGTTTTGAAGAAAAAAAAAATGTGTCGCATGAGAGACGAAAAATATGCCATTTATTGTCGTTAATATTAAGATATTAAGAACGGACCAATCCATTACAAATTTGGTTTATATTACTGAATAATTAGGAACACATAGTCTCGTTTCTTATTCGGTTGGTATTCCTCAAGTACTAGAAACAAGTTGCTTGTAACAAAAATCGTTAGAGATAGCAACGGAACGAACTCCGTCTCTGAGCATCAGAACCCCTGTTTTCACTAACCAATAGTGTAACAGAAAATATTTGTTTCTATTGTTTATTAGTAAAGAAAATCTGCCCTATTGCAACACAATTTTCCGTTATTGGAGTCTCACTTTCTAGTAGTGATATATCAAATAAATAATCTTTTTATAAACTTCGATTTGTGACCGCGCGTCGCAACGCGGCAAATTTAAATTTATAATTTTTCCTTAACAAACCTCTACTAACTAGTAGTAGTGGCGAGTAAGGGTCGATCCCACGAGGAGTAGGAATTAAATTGTGACAATCTCGTATTAATTGAATTGAACTAGGAAAGCAAATATGGGGGGAATTGGTTTTATAAAAATAAAAATAAAAATAAGAAAATAAAATAAAAATCTAATAAAATAAGAGAAGTCCAGTTTTCGGTTCAGTTATCACCCAATCTAAATCTACCGTTAATTAATTTCGACGCTTTCTCTAAATTGCTAACGAATTACCAACCCTAGCTAACAACAAGCTCTGTTAACCGAATTTTCCCTTACCGAATATTTAATCGAAATAGGCTCTTCGACTAAACCTAACTAGCGGACAACCTAGAATAAGCTCACTAGATTTAATACACTAGCAGCATTAATTTCTAGGAAAATAGATCAGTCTAAGCAATGGACGCAAAAGCTCGGACCATTTAACTTATGCTCATGCTACCCTAGAGATGCACGACCCCTAGTTTACTACTAACGAAACAAGACAATAACAATTACGGATTAAAGCCTCGAATCTAGCAATTAAATCATGGATATTCAACCTAGCTGGCCAAACCAAATCAAACACCATAATTCATAAACACGATACACGGATAACATGAATCAACTCATCGACAAAAATAAATACGGCGTCTAGATTAATCAACAATAAATTCAAATCCTTAAATCCATAGACAAATTCAAGTTAGGGTTCAAACATCCCCTAAAACTGGATAAAAATATTAGCCTAACATATTAATAAAAATAAATATTAAAAGATAAAAAAGAGAATAGAATTATCCTCTCGTGTGCGGGTGCGGCTTCCCTCCGCGTGTATAGCCTTCTTCCCAGTCCGTGCGGTATTCTTCTCGACTTTTCTGTGCGTAGGTTTCTTTTTTTCTGTGCGTGGCTCTTTTTCTTCTCCCGCAATTCAATTCACCCCCCGCTGCTCAAAACTCTCTTTTTTCCTTTTTGGAAAATAATGGCCCAAGACTCCTAAAAATTTGGGAGTCCAACAAATAATTATTTCCCCACCAAAATGTCTCATGGCAGCCAAAATATTTTTCTTCAATTTCTCCACTCATTGAATGTTCTCCCACCATATGGGCTGCGTGTTCGATTTATTTTGGGCCCAAATAGTTGCTTTCTATTTTGGGCTCAAATCCTTCTTTTCGGGCGAGTTACTCAACATTACGAGTCTTATCCATTGACATCTCCGAATATTCTTTAAATTGCTGAAAATAAATAATAAAAATATCAAAGTACATAAATTCATCTAAATAATAAATAAGTCAAAAAAAATACAAACGTGCGAATAAATTAAGTGTATAAAAATACACTATTAAATATATAAAATCGGCACATTTTTCGACCTATCAATTTGACATCCATATTGTATACATAAAATAAATAAATTATATTTATCAATATAATAATATAAAAGTTATTTATTAAAATTAATTAAAATTATTTCTCAATTAATATATTTATGTTTAATGTAGTTATATGTTATAAGNTTTTTAACTAACCACAAGATTTTAAAATTATTGCATTCCTACTATATGTGTGTTTTTATTTGCAGGTATACCTAAAAAATGCATTTATTTAGCATGAATAAAAAAGATTAGTTACCAAATTAATACCTTCCCTACAATCACGCCATTAGATTATTAAACTGAGAAAAAAATGGGAAGTCTATATTTCCTACTATTTAGGAAGCTGTTCAGATCAAATGGAAAGGATTAGTTTTTCAAACGTACTGCTATACAGAAAATATATACAGAATATATATACAGAATATAATGAACATATACGGCATATACACGCAACATATACTGCCAATTATAGTTACGGGAACATATATTGAAAAATATACTGTATATAAACGCAACATATCCACAGCATAATCTAGTCTAGTACAAATAAATTAAATAGCCATCACCATTTAAAAAAAAATAAAAAAATAAAAATAGAAGAAAAAACTTGGGTTTTTTCAACTATTCATTGAAAGGGGAAGCTTTTCACCCACCGTCCTCCTCAGGAGTCTGATAGCAGCCCAAAAAACACTCACAAACTCATAGTTGTATATATACAAGCCAAAAGCTCAAAATCACAGCGACAAATATGCCACACTAAAATCACATAGCATTTAATTATATTATCATGCATTAAATTTTATTATCCCTCCAAAATTTTTAACATTCAATTTCATTTTTACAAAATAATTTTGCTTGAATGCCATAAATTATGAGCATAAACCAATCAAGGAAGTTACAAAATTGTACTCAAATTTTAAGTCACACCCACTCATGAAAATGACCTGATGTATTAGCATAAAGAAAATAGTTGTAACGGCTCTTCCATAGCAATCACTTGATCAAAACCAATTTTGAAAATTATTTTCTTAATTCATATTTTTTCATGAATTAAATTATAATTTTTTTTATATTGTTATTTCTTCTTTGTATAAATGCATAAGTTGATTACTAGTATATATATATTTATAAGAGTAAAATAAGTCTTTGAATGATGTGAAGTTAACAACATATTCACGAGGGTTGTTAATGTTGCTCTAACTGACTAACAACAAAATTAATCGTCATTTTCTCTCTCTACAGATTTTTCTCGATATACGGAACAAATTCATGTTCTAATTAAAGAAATATGTTTACAGGCAGCACAAACAGTGCCCAAAATATCTAGGGTTTCAAATCCCTCCCTCCATTTCTGGGGGCACTGTTTATCTTTTCTTTTCCGTCCATTTTTTTACCTCAATCTTCATTAATATTTCTCCGGGGAAAATGATTTACCCATTCAGCTCCTTTGGGTCTCCAAGACGTAATCAATCTCATGATGGTGAATGTTTTCCCTGGAAATCTTCAGCTCCGTGGCTATGACTTTCCTTTTCCTCACCGAGCTGCGAGGTAACCAAAATGCGCATGATTCGTACGTTTGCCTAGTTGCAAGTTTTTTTAATTTCGAGCTTGATTTTTCATTTGCCCCAATTTTGCAGCGAATTCTTGGAGCAATAATTTGAATTGAAGCTTTGATCCGTTACTTATAAGTTGAGGTGAAGAACCGGGGACTTAGCACATGACCTGAAAGAAAATCTGTTGGTATATGCCGGGGAAGGTACTGGAGCCTTTGGTTTCCACAATTTCACATGTGACATTTGTTCATTGCCGGCGCCTGCTCGTAATTTGTTTGACAGGGGTTTTCCTGGTGACGTTTTACTGTTCAATGGAACTCGAGAATCCTCCCACGTCGATCAGCTTGCCGAAATTCTGCAACTGCGGCTGCAACTGCAGCTCCTCCACGATAAAGAGATCCTTTTCAGAGACTCATCTCAGAACCGTGAAGCGTAAATACAAAGAATTCGAGGAAGAAAGCCGGTTCACCATTCCAGGGTTCATCTTCCCACAGATTGCCCGTGTGGAGATTGGGAATGAGTGCACGGCACTTCGTGAGATGGTCAGCAGCCAGCAGAAGACCATTCAGGACCTCATTTCCGAGCTGGAGGAGGAGAGGAATGCCTCCTCATCGGCCGCCAACGAGGCCATGTCCATGATTCTCCGGTTGCAGAGGGAAAAGGCAGAGATCCAGTTGGAGGCCAGGCAGTTCAAGATGTTTGCGGAGGAGAGGATAGCGCATGACCAGCACGAAGCTCTGGCTCTGGAGGATTTGTTATATAAGAGGGATCAGGCTATAATGTCTCTCACGTGTGCCGTGCAGGCATACAGGCACAGGATGATGAGCTATGGGCTCACAGAAGCCGAAGCTGATGAGGACGGGTTTCCGGTTCCAAACAATTCGAGTGTGTCTGAAGTCTTGGATCGGCAGCTTGAGTTTCCTCCTTATGATTATCCTCCTCTTAGGTGCATTTCAAACGAGTCTCGGGCTTATCCTGATGGTGAGAATGGGAGTCCCTATTTTGAGAAGTACGTGCACGGGGAGACTCCTTGTTCTCGGAATCAGTTGAAGGATTTGGAGTATAGAATTAATCAGCTGGAGAGAAGTCCGAAGGTGGTTCAGCCGGATGGTGAATTCAGTTGTCCGAAAAATGTACTCGAGAAGGTGATAGTTGGTCACTCTCCAAGAACACCGAAGCATCTCAGGAAGCTTTCTGCCGATAGCCTGCAATCACCCTTTGCGGTGGTTAGAGAAATCGGGCCAGATTTCTTCAGAGATTCTCCAAAATCTGCAAAGAGTTTCAGAAAGAGCGAATTTTCCTATATTCAGGAGAGTTCGAATTTGGGAAAAGCAGAAACTGGATCAGAAGCTGGAGATGATATGAGTGACAGAATTTATACAATTGATTCAGTTTTTCAGAGAGCTCCGTTTAATTGTCTCGTGGATTCCAAGACTTCTTTTTGCGCCGGAATTGATGAATGTGCGGTATCTCCTAAGGAAACACTGAACTCGTCAGATGCTAGAGATACAGAGATCCAGAAGTTGTACGCGAGGCTTCATGCTCTTGAGGCGGATCGAGAATCAATGAGGCAAGCAATTATATCAATTGGGACTGATAAAGCACAAGTGCTGTTGTTGAAGGAAATGGCTCTAAACTTGTGTAAAGAAAGGCCTCTGGGAAGGAAAATGCCAGTCAGGAAGGAATCAGTAATAGGGAGTTTCTTTTTCATGTCATTTTTCAAGGTAATTGTGATAAGAAACAATATAAATGTTTCTCTATATATCAAACACTTCATCTGTTTAATGTCTTCAGATCTCCATTTTGTTGCTCTATATTTTAGTATATTTTTTATATATGTATCCTGCTGCATTTTCTATGAATTATTATTATGGTATACAGTTTTTAGGGAAGGCGATTGATGTTCTGAGTATCTATGCCCACTTTTTATGCCTTATCTTCCAGGACAGTCTTCAGACTAAGGACCTGTTCTTGCAGATTGCATGACATGTTGCTGTCTTATTCATTAGAGGGCAATGTAAAAATAGTATGGTCGTGTTATTTCCAAATGTGTGTTCTTTAGTGGTAGTTAGCCGTGTGTTTTCATAAGTTACTGAAAGCCATATGTGTAGAATATTTCTTTTAATATAGTTCCACCAATGCATTTCAGAAATTGATGAAATTACTAAGTTTAGTTTTGTGACATGCTTCGAGTATTGCATAGGTTCTAAGGGATACAGAAGAAATCTAGAGTTCGGGGAAAGCGCCTTTCTGCTTAAATCCTTGATTTTGCAGTGTGCTAGTTTGGCATTAGTGGGCGGTTGACGTGATATAATGGAAGGTGGATAGTTACTCCTGTTTGTTGCTACTTTTGTGGGCTATTATGCTTCGCTCCATCTGCTTGAGATTATGCTTTTTCTTAAAATACTCTGTCCATCTCAGAAAGATAGTCCACCTTTTCATATAAGGTGTCCCTAAACTTTTCATATAAGGTGTCCCTAAAAGATAGCTATCTTTATGACAATCAATACTGTAGATTAATTATTATTTTACTCCATGACTAGAGTAGCTTTTGCTTTCCCTAGTATAAATGATAGTGTTTCCATAAACTATGTGGAGATTATCATAGGACCATCTTTGTGTTACGGAGGGAGCGCATGTTTTCCCCCTCTGTAATCAACTTTTAGTTCTTTTGATTTTTCCATGTTTAAGTCACTTATCCATTTGCTATAATATAATAGCAATTGCTGGAAAATGTTTGCCACAAAGAGGGGTTCTTGACTTTTTCTCTGTCAATCCTCTTCGGGCCCACTTGGTAAACTTTCGAATCAACATTGTGTAGTGATTGCAATTTGTCTCCTTATACGATAGTATTTTCCACGATAATCCATTCTTATTGTTCGTAGACTTATTTAATTCTTGTTTCTCCTAGTTAGCACTGTTATAGAAAACAAGATGAGTCGAGCTTGGCACGCGAGTGGCTAGATAAGCTCAAAAGATATGGCATTAATGTTAACCTTTGACTCTTGAATCTTTTGCCCGAATTTCTAACTCATCCCTTGAGTCGTTCCACCTCTGATTGATATTTTTTTTTTCTTTTTGTTCTTAATTTCTTTCTTTCGTTTGTTCTTTCATTTTGTTCTGGCAATTAGTGTTCAAATTTTTAACCTTTTGGGCCTTTAAGGATTCTATGATGGTTACGCCTTACAGGACGTGGAAAAGCAGACTTTTTATGGCTTTTATTATGTTTGGTTTTGAGGGATAGCTCATACAGGAATACCTGCATATTTCCTTCAAGCTATTGGGCACTAAATCTATTGGTTTGGCTTTTCTGATTTTCTTATTCAAGTTCTTATTGAAATTATTACAAGAATTTTGAGAAGAAAAAGAAAGAGTGATTGAATTTTTGGGCTCGAGCTTCTAAAGAGATTTTCCATGAAACGAGTCGAGCTTGAGTTTGAGCTCTAGCTTGAACATACAAGTTAAGAGCTGGGCCTAGCTTTACTCCAACTCGTTATTCTTCTCGACCTATCTCGTGCCAGCTTGATGTGTGATCCAAGATGAGTTTGGATTTCAAGTACTTGGGCTTGACATAGCTCGTTAACAGCTCTAGCTCCTAATGGATTTGAGTTTGTGTTATTCTGGTATATGTGAACCATGCAATGATGTTTATTTCTTAGTATTACTTGTCAAAGATCTAAACTGACATGTGCGAATTCGTATATTCTTCTTTAGTTGATCCGTCCATTTTGATTTCATTTATTTCTTATTCTATGTGTGATTGCTTGATTTGTGCTTAAAACATGTATAGCTATTTGTTTGTTTGACTAATGTCTTTTCCTGTGTTATCATCTTAAAAGCATGCTACATAAATGATGACAGTTTACCCCTTTTTCTTGCAGTGGATTCTACCTATATTTTTCTGGAGAAGGAAGTCACGCAAATGCAGGTGTGTGCACAAGTAAAATTAGTCTATCCTTATGCCTGTTGAATAGATGATCCCTTGCTAAATGTTGCATATAATATCTTGATACTTGAAAGATGTTTGCATGGTAAACTGTTTATATTTTTGTTGTGGGAGTACACACTTATAAATAACTTGGGTATATGCGGATGAATAGCATGGAGAATGAAGAAATGATGTAGCTAACCAAAAGTGGATCATAGTGACGACTGATGCATCAAAATTTCGTTTAACAGTTTTGTTGAACTTATTGCTGGATAAATACTATGTATTTACAAAATTATTTCTTATTATCTTAGGTACATGTTTGGCTTGTCAGACAAGAATGCAGGGCTGCTATTGCTTTTGGAACGTGATCCTCGTGTTGGAATATGGAGATGCGTTTTAAGCACAGCCATGTGAAAAGCAAATTTGTGTACTTGTGTGCCTTTTGCCTCTTGTCCGGTTGCGATTGTTGTCTGGATTCTTTTTTGTCATTTGTAGTTGGCCAATTGATTTAATTCGATTTGATGGTTTAGGGTACAGTTAATTGAGAAAATATGGATACTTTGCATCCTTTTTGCTGTACTCATTAGTTGATTTTGTATATAAATTTGCTCACTTCATTTTTCTTCTTTGTGCTCGCACGTTTTTATCCGTAATAAACCATCGGCTAATTGGTAAGTGGATCTCGTCATACTCTAGGAACAAAAATAAATACTTATACTAATAGTTAGGTCGAATTAACACAAGATAAATCTGGTATGTGGGATATCCCTCTTAATCAGTTGTGTATCCCTCATTTGTAAATATTGACTATGACCTGTATGATATCCTCTTCTCGGTATTAATGGAAATAGTCTTTTTTTTTTTTCTCCAAATAATAAGTAT